CTCAAACCTATAACTAACTTATAAATCCTCTCTTTTCTCTCTCTCAAATCACTTTGGTTGACATAAAGTATTGGTTTCGAAATTAATTTGTATAAGCTAAAGTGCCATTAAATTGGTTGACAAGCGGCCTAAAACCCGTCTGTAATTAATTTCAATCCTTCACAAAAAAATACCTAGATATTTTCCCCACTGGCCCCACCAAATTCGGTCAATAAGAATTTTATCATATGACCACTAACTGTTGAAAATTTCAACCTAAATGGGACGCGATAGACGGACATAAGAGCACACAAAAAATATGCAATTCAAAACTCTTCCTTTTTATTTCGATTAGCCCAGAGGGGGGAAGGGAATAACCTAAAGACACGTGATCTGGATACCTAAAACATTGTGACCGTGGAAGTTCGGAAGGTTGGGAAAGTAATTCATTATTTTTGTTGTTTCATTTTGGAAGGATCAGCCACATTGTCAACATCTTGGTAAGTGCGATTGAAAATCTTTTCCAGTCACTCAGTTTTTATCAGTTTTGGTTATTTAGTAACTGTAGAGGGGCAAGGCTCTTATGGTAAATCCAAGTGACTGCTTTTTTTATCTTTATGTTTGCAATATGCCATGTTTCGAGTGTTAACCCTTCGTTAGAGCGGTTGATGACGCGATTGGATCGTCACCACAGTGAGATATATTGGTTTTACGGCCACTTTTTCAAATCTCTGTGGCTCTATACCGCACAATTTATCCCCATTAATTAAAATAAGGTGATATAGTATCGTTCAATTTGAGAAACTGATGATCGCAAATCTAAATTCAGACCACTATTTATGGTGTGGACTGTCCCACGCTGATATCATAGGAAATCCGCAGTGCTTCATTACGTGGTTTTCTAGTGGCTATGATCTGCATTAGCTTTTAACTTGACTTTGTTTTAGGAGGCTTTATCGTTTATCGATTCCGAGATCGCGGTAGATTCGAATTGAATTTCCGTTTTCTTCTTGTACATAAGCGTTTCATGGTCGAGATACTTTTCACTTAATTTTTCGATGTTAGCCGCGGGTTCTACGGTACATATTTTTCTAAACGCCGTAATCCGAATTTAAGAGATCCTCGCAGCTAAGAACACTACTGAACTGATGGGTCCAAACAATCCGAGTGATGAATAATGATTTTAGATATATGAAATTCATATATTTGCCCTGTAGTGAAGAAATGAATTTAAGAGATCCTCTCAGCTAAGGACACTACTGAACTACTGAAAAAAATTCAGGCCCGTACGGGATTTCAACCCGTGACCTCTGCGATACCGGCGCAGCGCTCTACCAACTGAGCTAACAAGCCAACTGGGAGCTGGTCGAACTAATAATAATTAATTTTTTTTGTCTGTTTAAGGGCCACAGTCTAAGTTATGACGCTGCGCGCTCATGAAGAGAGATGTTTTAATTTTCTTAGAGAAACTGAAACTTTCTCAAATTCACTGTTATTGCATACATAATATAAGCGTAATTTGAAAAACTGATGGTTTCCACAATCATGTGATCAAAAACTAAATTCATTCCTATATCAAGACATATTTATAATGCAGAATGTCTTTTACTGATGTCAGCAGAGGCAGTCCAAGCTCACGCCTCGAGAAAAAGCAAACGATTAATTCATGCATCACACTCACAAGAAAACGAATACAATGAGTCAATTTTCACGCACAGATAACTTACTGTTTAAAGACAGAAGCTTTAGCTGTACTCTCGATCTCATCGATCTCTTCAAGCAAATCCAATGTGAACACTGAAGCCTAACGTTTCAATTAAACAGAGTAAGATGTTTCCTTTTTGGACGCTAAAATCAATCATTAGTGAGAAAAGTGCGACGTACTAAACCGAAATACAGTCACAAGTTTTTTCTTAGCAACTCTGGCTTCGATCATGCAAATTACACCCGCTAGAAAATGAAAAGTTCACGAAGACAATGAGTCGATTATCACGCAAAGATAGGTTATCGCTTAGAGAAATAAACTTAGTTTGTACCGTGACCAATCTTGTGATGTAAATCAAACCTTTCAAGGAGTGAACACTTAAGCTTGACGTTCCCCATTAAAATAGAATAACACTTTTCATTTTTCATGTTCATTTACATTATTAGTGATAAAAGTGTGCAAAACCGAAATACTGTGTTTTTATTTATTGAGTGGTAGGAGCGCAGTGAGGTCCTTGCTTCATGACCGAGAGCCAATATTTTCCCGTTCGGCCCAACCAAACTCAGTCAATAAGCATTTTATCATATAACCACTGACTGTTTAAAATCATAGAACGCGATAGACGGGCATACTATCACTTTATCTTGTTTTTTTGGGTCTGTTTAAGCGCCAGAGTCTCGCACAAGAAGATAAGTCACGACGCTGCACACTCACGAAGAAAGATGTTTTAATTTTCTCAGAGAACCTAAGACTCTTTTAAATTCAATGTTATTGCCTACATAGTATAGGCGTACTTTTCCGTTGAACGGATGCTTCATATCTCCACCGTTGATATAAATTGCTTTCTTCCAACCGTTATGGTTTTATACAATATGTTTCAGCCTCATTAGTTAAGATTGTTAGGCATTGTTTAATTAAAAAAAAACGGATGGTTTCAACAATCACTTGATCAAAAACTAAAATCAATCCCATGTTAAGACATATTCATAATGCAGGATATCCTTTAATGATGTCAGCAGAGGGGGTCCAAGTTCACGTCTCGAGAAAAAGCAAACGGTTAATTCATCAGTGTCACGGATTGTGTGACTCGGTGTTAAGTTACAAGAGGAACAGTTGAGAGTTTGAGCACGTTATAAAGAATAGAATGGGGAACGAAATATGGTCGATTTACAACGATAAATATTTCGAGATATTAACATTTAACACGTAAAATCAATAAAAATTACACACATCTTGTGTGTCCAATGTAGTTTCAGGCGATTTCTGCCGTTTTAAGCTTGCTTTGCCATCACTGTTATTTCCATCCCCACGGTGACACCTCACCTTAATCTATCGTCCCGATCAATCAATCAGACAGCTGTTCCCGTGATAGGTCTGCAATTCCTGATCCATAATAGGAATGCACGGTAGAAGCGGCATCAGGATCGTGCATGCTATACCCCTGGAACATATCACAGAAACCTCTTTCCAGCCGCTCGAAAATTGTTGATGACTTCCTTTACTACAGAAGACTTACCAGTCCCCCCTCGGCCAGTCACTAAAAAGCTATGACCCTTACAAGCTAAGCATACTATCTCCGCCCGTCTGTGAGACAAGTGAACACTCATATTGACGACATACCAGTAACCACCGAATTACTCTACTGAACATTATGAAGAACGAGTTGTCAAAGGAAGAAAAATTATGAAATAACATAATAAACTTCACTTGACGATCTGCGTGCTCACTGAATAGTCCTCTAGAATGAATTTCCGGTGACTTAATAGAAATTAACCCCAACGTAACTTAAGGGGGTAGATGAAGGGTTATTCGGCCGAATCTTGCGGGCTTTTCCTATTTTTCCAGAAGTTTAGTGACATCACATGGCAAAACATTGTAGTTTGACAGCCATCCATGGAAGGGTGAATGCAATCGACGTTAGGGCATCATGTGGGCATCATCATCATCTTTTTTTTCTTAAGTCGTTTCCTGTCCTGTGACTATTAAGTCATGTTATGTTGTGCAAAAATCGCCACCGGATGAAATGAATTGGTTACAAAGCCGGACTTTGTCAAGCCTCTGTGGCTTCACATCTTGTTCATCATTCACATAAGCTAGGGATAGATTCGTTTTCAGTGACATTCATCTGATGAGTTAGCTCGTTACTTGATAATTACTTGCTACAACAATATTTTCAAATGTTCCATGCCATATTGTGGAATTTCAGGAAATGTTCCGGAGAGTTGTTGTTATAGGATATTTCATGGCCGCTTGGGGATACGAATTGTTAGCGTAAGAATTGAAACGCTTAAAACTTGAATGCATTTAGCTTGATCCCAATGGGCATTATTGTAAATACGTTCTGACGGCCGGTAAAAACGCAGTTAAAAAACGAAGCTGATACTGCAGACCACTCTTCGCCAGATTCTTTGCGGAATACTGGCGATACAACATCATTGATTCTTGAAGATTATCAACTGCTCTAATGAAGGGCTAACGCTCGAAACGCTAGCTTCAGAAACTCATTACGATGGCCAATTTACATTGTCAACTCAGTTGGTAAAGCCAAATAGTTTTGAAATACTTCACCAAAGTTTCTTTGAAAACTTACCCCCGTTGATTAATGTTGTTTATAGAAACTGTGCATGAGGAAAGTTCTCATAGCAAAAGTTAAGATAAATGCTGTCCATTTTGTTTATCTTTGTCCTGTGACCTCAAAGTCATGTCATGTCGTGCTAAAATCACAACTTGAGTGAAATGAAAGATGGCAAACCGACTTCTTCCCTTACTTTTTGTTTTAAGTGGATATTGGGAATTCTAACACTTCCAGCTTGTTACAAATAGTTTCCGGGTGTAATCGACCCAGCCCGCTTAGTAGTGACTCGTTATTAATCCAGATTATCGACTCATTTAGTACTGTGTTACTAAAAAAAAGGTTTTCCTGATAACAGGAGAGGATGGTAATGGAAATATAACAGCAGAAGCCATGATAGCTCCCATGAGCATCGCCTTATTCGTTGCACTGTTCTTGCTCAACTCAGACCGCATTCAGAAAGCCATTGAGATATGCAGCGAATGTTTGATTTTGCTAAATAGCACCGACCAAAACAGCAAAGGCCAATTTGATTCTGTACTGCTACAGTTTTACAGCGATATCTACACAGTTCTTTTCAGCGCTCATCGTCATATCTCTGACTACATAAGTGCGGAAAGATACGGCAGGAAACTGTTTGACTTATACAGAGCGTCTGGAATTATGCTTTATAAACTTGGCCAAAACCTAAAAGCAAAGGAGTATGTTGAGAGGGCCCTTGCCGTGACAACCAAAATTGGCGACAGAAGCGGAGAAGCATCCTGTTACGGAAACCTCGGAGTGCTCCTTCAGTCGCTCGGGGAATGCGACAAGGCTAAAGAGTATCTCCAAAAAGCGCTCGTCATCACAACTGAAATTGGCGACAGAGAAGGGGAAGCATCATGTTATGGAAACCTAGGTACTGTGTTTCTGTCGCTCGGCCAATACGACAAGGCTAAAGAGTATCTCCAAAAAGCGCTCGTCATCAGAACTGAAACTGGCGACAGAGAAGGAGAGGCAACTGACTGCGAAAACCTAGGTACTGTGTTTCTGTCGCTCGGCCAATACGACAAGGCTAAAGAGTATCTCCAAGAAGCGCTTGTCATCAGAACTAAAATTGGCGACAGAAATGGGGAAGCAACATGTTATGGAAACCTAGGTGCTGTGTTTAAGTCGCTCGGCCAATACGACACGGCTAAAGAGTATCTCCAAAAAGCGCTTGTCATCAAAACTGAAACTGGCGACAGAGAAGGGGAAGCATCATGTTATGGAAACCTAGGTACTGTGTTTCTGTCGCTCGACCAATACGACAAGGCTAAAGAGTATCTCCAAAAAGCGCTTGTCATCAGAACTGAAATTGGCGACAGAAATGGGGAGGCATCATGTTATGGAAACCTAGGTATTGTGTTTGAGTCGCTTGGCCAATACGACATGGCTAAAGAGTATCTCCAAAAAGCGCTTGTCATCAAAACGGAAATTGGCGACAGAAAAGGGGAAGCAGCATGTTATGGAAACCTAGGTACTGTGTTCGAGTCGCTCAACCAATACGAGAAGGCTAAAGAGTATTTCCAAAAAGCGTTTGTCATCACAACTGAAATTGGCGACAGAAAAGGGGAAGCATCATGTCATGGAAATCTAGGTACTGTATTTTTAGCGCTCGGCCAATACGACAAGGCTAAAGAGTATCTCCAAAAAGCGCTTGTCATCAGAACTGAAATTGGCGACAGAGAAGGAGAGGCAACTGACTGCGAAAACCTAGGTACTGTGTTTCTGTCGCTCGGCCAATACGACAAGGCTAAAGAGTATCTCCAAGAAGCGCTTGTCATCAGAACTGAAATTGGCGACAGAAATGGGGAAGCAACATGTTATGGAAACCTAGGTGCTGTGTTTAAGTCGCTCGGCCAATACGACACGGCTAAAGAGTATCTCCAAAAAGCGCTTGTCATCAAAACTAAAATTGGGGACAGAAAAGGGGAAGCATCATGTCATGGAAATCTAGGTACTGTGTTTCTGTCGCTCGGCCAATACGACAAGGCTAAAGAGTATCTCCAAAAAGCGCTTGTCATCAGAACTGAAATTGGCGACAGAAAAGGAGAGGCGACTGACTACGGGAACCTAGGTACTGTGTTTGAGTTGCTCAACCAATACGACAAGGCTAAAGAGTATCTCCAAAAAGCGCTTGTCATCACAACTGAAATTGGCGACAGAAATGGGGAAGCATCATGTTATGGAAACCTAGGTACTGTGTTTCTGTCGCTCAACCAATACGACGAGGCTAAAGAGTATCTCCAAAAAGCGCTTGTCATCAAAACTGAAACTGGCGACAGAGAAGGGGAAGCATCATGTTATGGAAACCTAGGTACTGTGTTTCTGTCGCTCGGCCAATACGACAAGGCTGAAGAGTATCTCCAAAAAGCGCTTGTCATCAGAACTGAAATTGGCGACAGAAGAGGAGAGGCGACTGACTACGGAAACCTAGGTAATTTGTTTGAGTCGACTGGGCAATACGACAAGGCTAGAGAGTATCTCCAGAAAGCGCTTGACATCAAAACTGAAATTGGCGACAGAGATGGGGAAGCATCATGTTATGGAAACCTAGGTAATTTGTTTAATTCGATCACCCAATACGATGAGGCTAAAGAGTATCTCCAAAAAGCGCTTGTCATCAGAACTGAAATTGGGGACAGAGGAGGAGAGGCGACTGACTACGGAAACCTAGGCAATTTGTTTAGGTCGATTGGGCAATACGACAAGGCTAAAGAGTATCACCAAAAAGCGCTTGTCATCAAGACTCAGATTGGCGACAGAAAAGGGGAAGCATCATATTACGGAAACCTAGGTAATGTGTTTCTGTCGCTCGGGCAATACGATGAAGCTAAAGAACATTTCCAAGAAGCACTTGCCATCACAACTGAAATTGGCGATAAGGCAGGGGAAGCAGCAGATCTTTCAAACCTTGGAAGGTTGTCTCTAACTGTTGGAGATTATGAAGCTTCAAAAGTATGGTTGGAGAAAGCTTTATTCATATCAAGAGATATTGGAGATCGAGGGAGAGAGTTCGAAATCCTTAAAGATTATGCCCTTTTGTATTTATGTCAAAATAAAATCAAAGACGCCCTTTCGTTTCTTCATCTATGCATTGAAAAGTATGATAAGCTGAGATATTTCTTGGGCGCCAGTGATCGGTTCAAAACATCATTTCTGGAACACTCAGGAATATTTCCTTACAAGCTGCTTAGTACTCTGCTTTGTGACACCGGAAATGCTCGGAATGCTCTGTATGTTGAGGAGTTGGGTCGAGCTAGAGGTCTATCAGACTTGATGGCAGAGAAGTATTCGGTTGAAACGCACATCTCTGCTAATCCACAGTCTTGGTTTGGCATTGAGAACATTTTAAGAAAGAAAAATAACTGTACTTGTCTGTACATTTCTTATTTTAGGAATCATCTGCATTTGTGGATCTTGAAAACAACTGGAGTCCTTCACTGTAGAAAAATATCACCAAAAGAGAATCTAGTTCAGGCTGGGCTGCCCAAAGATTTGTCTTTGAGTCAATTTTTGGATGATAATTTCCGGAGTCTTGGTATTTTGCCCACCAAAGATTGTGAAGATCGGTCTTTAAATACGATTAAATTGCAACCTCTCTCCCCCGCACAAAAGAGCTCAGCAAGATTGCGACTCCTGGAGGAGGACGAGGACAAGGACAAGGACAAGGACAAGGACAAGGACAAGGACAAGGAAGTCATTTCAAGTCTATCTTTGTGTTACAAAATGTTTATTGCTCCCGTTTATGATTTGCTTGAGGAGCCTGAAGTCATCATCGTTCCTGACCGCAGATTGTACAAAGTTCCCTTTGCTGCACTGAGTGAAAAGGAGGGAGCCGAATACCTCTCGGAGACTCATAGGATCCGTGTCATTCCATCTTTGACAACACTCAAGATGATTCAAGATAGTCCAGAGGACTATCACAGCAACACTGGTGCCTTGATAATAGGCAATCCCAAGGTTTATTGGCTGCCGCCATTGCCAGGTGCAAGAAAGGAAGCGGAGATGGTCGGACGGCTAGTGGGTGTTCCGCCTCTGGCTGAAGAGGAAGCAACGAAGCAGGCGGTACTTGAGCGGATAAGTTCAGTGAGCCTGATACATTTTGCTGCCCATGGTAGTGCCGAAAGAGGAGAAATTGCCCTCTCCCCCATTCCTACTCCCAATAATCAAAACGCTATCCCACCCCCGGAAGCCCACATGTTGACGATGGCTGATGTCTCACGAGTGAAAGTTAGAGCTAAACTGGTGGTACTTAGCTGCTGTCACAGTGGAAGTGGAGAGATAAGAGCCGAGGGAGTTATCGGAATTGCCCGTGCGTTCTTAGGATCCGGTGCTCGCTCGGTGTTGGTTGCGCTGTGGGCCATTCCAGACTCAGCAACAGAGCAGCTGATGAGTCGGTTCTACGAACACCTCGTTAAAGGAGAAAGTGCCAGTGAATCCCTTCATCAGGCCACGAAATGGATGAGAAAAAACGGCTTGACCAAAATGTCTGAGTGGGCTTCGTTTACGCTGATTGGAGATGATGTGAGACTCGAGTTTGACAAGCAGAGGTAAGACTCGGTGAGAGAACAGGTATTTCATAAATTAAAGTTAAACCAGATGTAAAGGTAGCTATGACTTACTGGTCGCTGACTGAATGGGGATCCCTTGTTACCTTGAACATCAAAAAAAAAGTGTGTATATATATAAAATCTGTCTTATGATCGCGTAAGCGTGAAACTCAGAGTCACAGAAAAGTTGTCTCATTGATTTGTCCAACTTTCAGATATATATATATATATATATATATGTACACACTTTTTTTTCCTTTTTGGAGAGTTACTATCTTTGCTCTCTGGTTTAAAATATAGAATCTCGCAGGTGCCTCTCTACCAAACAGATACAAGTGTTAGCCATTTATTTTTACATTTTGTGCATGGTATAACTGTATTTGTTTTATATCAAAAATTCTACTTGAGTTAGTAATAAATTGGGTTTTTTTTTTTAATTTTTTCTTACAGGAAAAAAAGACCCCGACAGAGTAAATGATGACAAGTACTCGAAGGGAACAGAGCTAAAAGACTTTTAGATGGATAAATAAAATAGAAACAAGTGGAGAAAATACTCTATACCGTATTTGATTGACATTAAAAAAAAGAGCTATCCCAAGTTTGGGGAGACCTACTTCAATTTTTCGTGCTTTCCAATATTCTCAAGAGGATGCACTGGTTACGTACTCAAGAACTTTTGTTTTTTACGCAAAAATTCTATTTCTGACAATATAATAAGCACGAAACAATGTTTACGTATGTGGGGCTTTTAAGTAAAGCGAAATCAGTAAAGTCAAAACGGTAGTTTAAGTATAAAACGAACCACTAAAATCTGGTTTGATTTTTGTGTTTTCAAGCCTTTTGTAAGGTTAATTTAAGAAAACCTTCAATGTTTGAGGAATGATTTCAATGTAGCATCTTAAAGGATTCTTGTCAACCATGTCTCTGTTTTTGTTAACATACGGGCAACTGCGGAGAAATTCGTTCGTATTAACTCAACGCCTGGCCTTTAAATGCTGAAAAATCTCTGCCAATTGGCTATGAGTTAGATCTCTGACGCAAGGACTATCCTTCCTGTCATTCCACACGATGAAATGTTTCGTCTGCTCCATGGCTTTAGGCCTTCCACGTGAAGGAACGGGAGATACCATTGATGGTTCCAGTTACAAACAAAAACTTCTCAAGAAATTTACGAGAAACCACCACACAACTACCCAGCGTAAACCAATAATAATTTCAGAGGGGTGCTACGACAATTTTAGAGCTCAAAATATATTTAAATTGCTCGGATGCACTTGGATGATAGGCTACAATGGAAATTTCTCGAATTTAGATGGCAAAGAAAATGGCGGAATAAGCGCGCAATGTCTTGTGGTTGACTAGGATCGTTTAGTTTGGTCCTTATACTAACACAATATGAAATAAGGCAAAAACATAAAGGTTTGCGACGCACTGTGGCCAGAGGTCACGAATTTGCATGATGCAAATCAGTTGTAGAAGTCGTACCGCCTAACGGTTCTGGTGTAGGAAAGGCTCTTTTGACGGCTACAACATGAAATTTACAAGAATAATGACCAGCATTTAATAGCGTTCAATTCTTTTTTTAAGCCAATGAGTTTTTTGTTTCATTTCTCGTAACTGTCTTGACGAAAAGCAAAATGTTTCAATTGCGTGACAATTGTCACGTTGGATCAAAGGTGAAGTTGCCGAGTAAAGCGGACACAATCCTTTTTTCGTCAAAACTCCATTCTAAAGCATCCAGTCCTATATATCTCGTTTTATATTACTTGTCTAAATTCTTTTATGAGTCTATATCGAACAACTGATCCTGTCTGACTGCCAAGTGCGGTTCGAAGGGGACTTTTTCATTTCCGGTTTGCGCCTTTAATACGGGGACCGCGGAGCTATGGGGTTGAGTGGGCTGTAGCCCCACCAAGAACAATTTGTTGTTATCATTATTATTTATTTTAATCGTTAAATTAAAAATTTGACAAATTTTTCGTTGGATTGAAACGCGTTTCCGGTGATTTCAGAAGCTCTAGATTTCAAAATTTGCCGGGGGAGCATACCCCAGGATACTCTGTCAGCAGTCTTTCTGTACTGAGAAAGGCGTACTAAGAAACAGACAAAAGGAAGCCTCCGATCCAAAATATGCTCCACGGCCCCCGTTTTATATCAACGTTCATATAAAACTCATTTTTTTGAAGCAGCCTTTTGCCATTTGCCTTTTAAACTGCACTACAAGAGCAGCATCTAGCAAGGTCTTCGAGCAGAGCGACGTGAGATGTCTTTTTTCTATGATCAACCCCAGGTGGTAATGCAAGATTGAAACTCTCGCAAAGGAGTTTTAAGACTGCGAGTTCGAGATTTTTGAGTGTGTTATTCTCGACCATGGAACAGTTGTACTGTTGGTAATGAATAGAATGAGTTACATTTAACTGCTCAAAAATAGACTCTTTAGCATTTGACAAATCAAATTCTTCCTCCATAACAACGAGATCTTGCTCAGGTACAGCTTGTGCGCTGGGGGCTGTCTGCTGTTTCACTTTTGCTGCCATTCTGGAAAAAAACGAAGCTACTTGTTAAGTAAAAAAAACTCAGAGAGACTGAACAAGCGCTCCCTGTTCAATTTTTTGCTCTTCTCAATTTCCGCGTCGACCTTCTTGCCGCTTTCTTGTCCGATGGTAAGTCAGGTACTCTCGTTGCTTTTCGTTAAACCGGTAAACTTTCTTTACTTGTTTTAAAGCGAAGCCTTCAGGCAGTGTTACATATCCAGTGCTACGAGGACAGGTTTCAGGAGGTAGAGGAATAGTTGGCACTGAACTTGAACCTTCCTCGAGCCTTGCAGCATATTTAACCTTCGCTTTATCAAGAAGTGTCTCCCTTTCAACCGTCTTTGTGCATGTTCTGAACGCGAGATGCTTTTCTAGAGAAGAGTGCCGTTGGAAACTATGCGTGCAGCCCTCTTTTGGACATGGAAACACTTGATCCCTAGTACGGTCTTTCAATTTGACAAAGTCAGCCATGTTTGGATTTTCAGAACTTGCACCACAAGCCCCCCCCCCCCCGCCAAGAAGAGAAGAAAAGCTACAGAATGACATCGAATGACATCGTTTTCTGTTTATGCTCTATGAAAAACTTCGCATGTGTTTACCTTTAAGAAAAAGACCGTGATTGCATTATAGAGAATTATCGCCCGGACTGCAACACGGTATAATTGCTACCGTGACATAAGTCCTTTTTATCAATTTTTATGACAGAAATGTGGCCATTTTTCCGAAAAAGATGAGAGTAAATAGCATAAAAATAGTTGGGCTGTTATCTTGAGGTGAAAAACTTCACAGCAGAAGCTTGCCGTGTTGCGTGACTTTGTTTACTCACATAACTTTTTCCAAGATATCCAAGATATTTCAAAAGAAATATTATCGCAGTTGCAGAAAACGTAACTATTCAACTAAGAACGATGTCGATAATAAACCACTTGTTAACAAAAATGGTGAACTATACAGCGGCCCTTATCTATAGTTAGGTGTAGGTAGTGCTGTTGAAATAGTGAGTCGACAATAACAGTCTTCTGCAATTCAAATTAACAGAAAAGTTCGTATCTACATATCAATTTACAGCCCTCTTCAGCAATGTCTGCGGATTTTTTATTCTATAATTTCATATCATTTCCATATCAAAGAGTTTTTTAACCATCTTTAACTATCTTGTTTACTTCGTAGCTCTCAAGTACGATTTCTACAACTGATTTGCATCATGCAAATTCTTGACCTTGGCCACAGTGCGTTGCAAACTCTTTTATTTTGCCGGCACTTTTCTTAATTACCCAGATTTTTTATTTCATACTATTTTCATATAAGGACCAAACTTTGTGCCAGCTTGTACTTTGATGTGATTTCTCACATACCAAGACGCGTTTTGAAGGTTTGAAGTTGCTCGATTTTTAGCTTTTTGCAACAAGCGTTTGACAGCACTTTGTCAAAAAATCATGTGAATTTTAAAATTAAACCAAAGCACCTTAAAATGCCACAAATAAAAATTAACAGAATTATACTTTGAAGTAAAAACACCCCCGATTTCTTACCAAATATCCTCCTTCAGTACTCGCACACTAAAGTTGGTCAGTTTTATCGAATTTTTTGCATAATTAATTAGGCAGAAACCCAAATTTTCGTTTTTCCCCATTTTCTCGGGATTGTTTGATTTTTCAAACTTCGAAATATTTTTTTTGAATACATCTCCCTAAAAGGGTTTTCCAGGCAAATTATCAGAATTTTCGATTTTTTTTAGCCTAGCCAGCGATTCTCGATATTTACAGTCATGGGCTCTTAAACTTTCCTCACTTTAATGTTCCTTACCGATGTTTGTTTGGAAAGATACAATAAAAAAGATAGGTCACCGTGCTTATTTGGGAGATTTAATAGGCCAAACTTATCCCATATATGCCTGTACTGGCACCAATCACGCGCGTAATTTCATCGGTTCAAGGTACATTTTGCTGCGGCTGGAAGCAAGGGTTTTTAAAATAAGACTTGAAAAGACTTGAAAGGTATTATAAAGGTTTTTATAGTTAAAATTAGGATAGCGCTTGTGAATACTATGCTGCTAAGTTACGGGCTAAGGATCGGAAAGCCCGGAATCTCTGTTGTCCTGACAAGATCAATGACAAGAGGAAGATAGATAAACTTAGTAATGATATACTCGTCTGTTTACACAAAGGGAAACGTGAAGCAACTGATGGATGATTCGTGATAACGAGTGAGTATCATTTAGCATTGGAACAAGTCGACTTAAAAGGCACGCGCGTGACTTAACAGTGGAGGATCGAAAACAGGAATTGGCGATATCTTCAAGAACAATTATGGTCCAGTGTTTAAGTGGTAGTTTTACATTAGCATGAAAAAAAAAAGAAAGAATACAAAAAAAAAAGAAAAAAGAAACGCTACGGCCCAGCGCAAAAAGTTTGACATATGATCCAATAAAAACTCTATCAATCAGTAGTATTCACTGATACAACCACCT